ATCTAGTAATGAGTTTGATTGTACGAGAGTCTGGATTCAGGAGCTCCCTGCGATTTTCCTCTGTCAAACTGGTGTAATTTACTTGATAATACTTCCTAGTAGTAGTTGTGTTGGGTAATTTGTTAGCATGTGTTGGGTAATTTGTGAGCTATGGTGGTTGTTGTAGTAATAATGGAGGCATTTGAGTTTCTACATGTGATTGTTTTCCTCTACTTCTATGGGAGGGCGTTGATCTATATCAAAAACCTATTAGCTCAAGTGGTAGAGCACTATGCAAATGCATAGATGATGTAGGTTCGAATCCTACATAGGCTATATTTATAAATAACTATATTAAAAAAAACTTTAGAACATAGGTAGTAAAAATTTAGAACATAGGAAAAAAAAAACATTAGAACATAAGTAGACTGAATTTAGAATATAGGTAGTAAAAATTTAGAACATAGGAAAAAAAAACATTAGAACATAAGTAGACTGAATTAGGCAAAAGAATTTATAATATAGATAGAAAAAATTTGAACATAGGAAAAAAAAACTTTAGAACATAACTAGACTGAATTTAGAACATAGGCAAAAGAATTTAGAACATAGGTAAACGAATATTTAGAACATAGGAAAAAAAAAACTCTAGAACATAAGTAGAAAAAATTAGAACATAGGTTGAAAAAGTTTAGAATATAGGAAAAAAAAACTTTAGAACATAAGTAGACTAAATTTAGAACATAGGAAAAAAAAATTAGAACATAGGTAAAAGAATATTTAGAACATTAAAAAAAAAAACTTTAAAACATAGGTAGTAAAAATTTAGAACATAGGGAAAAAAAAACTTTAGAACATAAGGGATCATAAGAGTCTTAGAAGTGGTTGAGGAAATATAAGTTGACTTTGATAGAAGAAATTGGATTTAAATACATTGAGAAAAGAGAATGGAGGAAATAGATCATGGATGATGATCAGTACTTCAGTAAAATGAAATCTCGGTTCATGTAGCTGACTCGTTTTTTTTTCCTTATGTTCTAAATTTTTTCCTATGTTTTAAATTTGTTTTTCCTATGTTCTAAATTTTTTATTTATGTTCTAAAGTTTTCCTATGTTTTAAAATTTTTTTCTGCTTATGTTCTAAATTTTTTGCTATGTTCTAAATCTTCTCATGTGTTCTAAAATTTTAAGCTTATTTTCTAAATTTTTTCAGCTTATGTTCTAAATTTTCTTTTTTTCTGCTTATGTTCTAAATTTTTTGTTTTTGCTTATGTTTAAAATTTTCTTTTTCTGCTTATGTTCTAAATTAAATATTTTTCCTATGTTCTATATTTTTTTCAAGCTTATGTTCTAAAGTTTTTCCTATATTCTAAATGTTTTTCCTTTGTTCTAAACTTTTTTTTTGCTTATGTTCTAAAGTTTTTCCATGTTCTAAATATTTTTTTTCTTTGTTCTAAATTTTTTATATTTATGTTTTATATTTTTTTCCTATATTCTAAATATTTTATTTTTCTTGATGTTTTAAATTTTTTTTGCTTATGTTCTAAATTTTTGTCCTATGTTCTAAATTTTTTTCCCCTATGTTCTAAATGTTTCGTGCTTATGTATAATAGTCTCACCCAAACGAAAAAAGTAGCAGGCTTAAACACACGCTGAGCATACTCTATATAATCAGCCAGCATCTTTAAGTAATATACAGCAACCTGAATAGGATCAGACACAGGTCCTTGATGCAAACATAGAACCAAGATGCCTAAGCCAGCATATACAAAACTGTTAAGCTCCTTTTTGCCAATCCTATCAGTCACCCACATGAGACGCTAAAAAAACTAGAGGTTGGAGAATCAACTAACAGCCCCACATACTCACTCTGAGCCCATATTACAACAACATCATGGTACTCAAAAATAGCATGTAAATAGTCTCACTAGCAGCCCCACATCCCTGGCACACGCTATTAGCAGCAATATGGGGATGGTAAACCTCTTTTTCATAGCAATACTACCCTTACAAGCCCTCAAGACGAAGTGTCGTAGTTTAAGTAGTCTTTCCATACCCCAAACCAGCTTCCATAAGCCTTTCTCCTTGTTTCCATGGAGTGTATACCACGCTTGACTTTAGTTCAGATGGTGAAGGACTATTCCACTTTGTTACAGCTAAACTCTCATACAAACTCTCGTCTCGATATTATACAAATGAACCTACGTGGGATTCGAACCCACATCTTTTGTGCATTTGCACAATGCTCTACCCATTGAGCTACTAGGCTAATGTATATAAAACATTTGTACCCAAACCTTCACTTACACTACACTAAACTGCCTCACTAACACAATTGGAACAACACTTATTCAAAATGATGTTGTAAAATATAATACGACTGTTGAACAATATGAGTCACTTAAAAGGATATGAAAGCCCCAAATTTCCTACAAATCAAAGCTTAAGAAGTCAATAGGTATTGTCAATAGTAGCACATCATTTTCTCCGATGCATGACATACTAGGAAAAGGTTATAGCAAACGAAAAAGGTACAACTACGTCAACTAGACTACCTAACCCGTATTAAGGCTCATGATTACATTATTTAATATCCAAAAGATTTTGTAGCAGATGGTGTATAAGTAGACAATTTAAACAGGTTGTACAAACAAATGCCAAGAAACAAGGATTGCCCTTCCTTTATTTAATCAAAAATTTGGTGGACAACTAACACATAGCTATAGGCATCAAGTATGCATAAAAAACATGCCAGCCAAGAAGAAAAGGCCAAACCTCTTATCTTATGCTGGGATTAATAACCTGCATCAAGAAATTTCAAACAAAATTGAGAAATACTACGTACATTTGGAGATGACATTTCAACCTGAAGTGCAATAATATTCTACTCCAAAAAACACCATACTATCCACTAGTTTCTTTCAATCAGTACATGAAAAATGAAGATCACTAACAATTAAGAAGACAACAAGAGGATATCACTAATTTAGAACATGCTGACATACAAATCGCAAAAATCAAGGAAAAATTTGAGAAAAAATCGCATAAAAACGCAGCAAAATCACATCAAAATTGCAGCAAAAAATTGCAACAACATCGCATAAAACAAATTAAATTCTTCGAAATTCTTGGAGTATAAGTTACCTTTGCATTTCAGAACAAATTGTTGTACGAATTTATTGTTCTTCGTCTCCGTCCATTCAATTTTTCTTCGATTTCCGTCAAACTAGGTTTCGAATTTGCAAAATTTCTACTTAAATTTCTCAATTCAACTAGTTTATGCAACTTAATGAACAAATTTAGCTGAATTTGAGCAAAAAGTAGAAGAAAATCGTTGTAATTTGCTTCAATTAGGAGCGATTACGGTGGATTTCTGAGAAGTTTGGGGGTTTTAAGAGAGAGAAAGTGGTGGGAAGTGTGAAATGTGTTTGAGAAGTGTGAAAGATACGTGAAAGAGGAAGATGAGAGGAGGTGTATGTATGACGCATGAAATTACAAAAATGCCATTACTATGGCTGTATTTAGGACGGTTAGATCAAAACTAATAAACGGCTGAGATTGGTTCTTATATAAGATTGGGTTCTTATATAGAGGAGGGTTCTTAGATGAGCCTTCCTCTATATATATATACATATATATATAGTAGACATGTCAACATTTGATAATGGACTTCTACAATTTGAATAACTGATAATGGACTATTAACGATGAATTTTGAATAAGCTGGAGAATATCAAGCCCATAATAATAGTATGGATCACATGTATAAGTGGGGGGCCTTGAAGACAAACTGGGAGATAGTGAAATAAAGTTAAGTCTCTTTTAAAAGGTAAGTTGTCCAAAACTATTTTTAAAAAGACAAGTTTGCCCAATTATTATTATTATTATTATTATTATTATTTTTTAATAAGAAAAATACAAAATGCCCAATTATTATTTGGATGAAAGACAAGTTTGCCTAATTATTGTTGATTGATAAGAAGCTTATCCACTCATAAAATTTCCCCATGAACAAAATTCCAATCTCTCTTATAATTTTAGGCCAAATTTAGTTTTAAATAATACCCCAAAGTTGCAACTAAAAAAAATCGGAGATTATATTTGATACCATACGTCTAATTTTTGTAGCTATACTATTCACTATTAATAATTTCTTGACTACCTATATTCCACATAACAATGTCGACATGATAATTAAAAAAAATGCTTAAAACGAAAGCATTGTTATGACATTTTAATTCATTTTAAAGTTATACAAAGTGTAATTAGATTTTGTACTTAATCCCTGATTTATATTTTGGGTTTTTCAAATCAGTGGATGTTAGAATGTAACATTTAGGGCTTTGCCAAGTAATCCATGTAATGTTTTATGATTAAAAAAAAAGTTATACAAAGTGCACTTATATATGGAAGACTGGAATAATATTATTTACGGAGTAGGAGTGAAGGCCTCCAATATGCCAAACAAATTTATTTTATTTTGATGGAGTCAAAACAAAGACAAAATTATTACATTTAAAATTGAACTAATATGATTACAAACAAATACAAAAATGACACGATATACATTGTACACTTCACTTCCATAACATGAGTTCATGACTTGTATTAATGAAATGTTTTTGGGTAAGATTAATAGAATATCGCCTTATTGGTGTATCACTTCACCTTATTTTTGCTGAACTAGTGATATCATTTTTACTAAACTTAAATTAATTTTATTGATTCTAAGTTGTATTTCTACTGAAATAAAATTATTTTTATCAGGGACTACTAATTCAAATACGGAGTATTCAATTTTACAAAAATAAAATAAACTACATGTACTTATTAAATACTCCGTATCTTTTTGTAATTTATTGTTATAGACACAATAGCTCGTGATAACTATAGAGTTTATCTCAATTTAAACCCGTGATATGCTTAATAAGGGTAATTTAGGATGGTTGAAAAAAATAAGTCCGTCATTAATGATATACCTACTTTAAATTTTGTTACCTAAATTACGAACTTGCGAAATAAGACAAAAACAAACATAGAAAATCTCGTGTAAAATTATCGACAATAATGCAATCGATATTCTGTGTATAATTGCTGTTACTCCGTAGAATTTTAAGGAAAATGACAATTATACATTATTAATCCCCAGATTATAAGAGAGAAGAATCAACCAATTGAGAAGAATCATTATTAGTAGCAGGAAGATTGTTCATACTGTTCCAGAATTAATAATTTAGAAATTATTTGAGAAGTGTGTTTCATCACTTCTCTTCTTCTTCAATTACTATAATTCAACCTAATTCCTCGAATTTCAGGTATTTTTTATTTATTATTATTTAAGTCGAATTCAGTCCCATTTTTTAGGTTTTTTTTAAAAAAAATTTAATTACTGTTGTTTTTTTAATCTGAACTTATTACGGAGTATCGATTTATAGTTGAATTAATGAGCAATTTAGCTTTTAAATTCGGTCTTATTAGGTCATTGATTATTGTACTTGGTGCGTAATTTAGCTCATTTCTGTGAAATTCGAGCTATTCAAAATTTTAGGGTTGTTGATTAATTAGTTCATAGTTAATAACTTATTACTGCTGCAATCTGAAAGAAATTTTGGATTATTTACAGATTCAGAAATTTTACCTGTTCTTTGGCACTATTTGTTGTTCGAAATTAATTTGGTAGGTTAGGTCAGTAACTCAACATTCAAAGCTAATGTTGTGTAATTTGCACATATCTAACTGAATTTTGCTAGATAAGTACTCTTGTGATTCTGGAATATGTTATAACTTTGAATTACATGGACAATTACTGCATTGTCTTTCTATACCTTATGGCTAAAGCTCGAGAATAACGCAGCGATGTCCAATAATTTAAGATCATAATTCAAAAGATGTAGCAGACAGTTGATTGTATATAATGGTATGGTTTAATGATAAAATGGTTGGTATGGTTGTGTTGGACTTTCGGAGTGCTGGGATCATTCAATATAAGAAATGCTTTTTAAGTGGTGCTGTTTCTCCAAAATTTACTGAATTGATAGTTTGATACAAGAAAAAAGCTCAGTTAATGCATCTAAGATTCTAAGTTCCTGAGGTCGAGATGAGTCAATCCAATATCAACACAATTTCTCGATTAGTCTTCAGTTTCATATTGTGCCTGTACCTTGATATTTATATACTTTATGAAGCCGCTTGTTTTGGTCAGCTATTGCTTTTAATCTTTTGATAGACATTGGTGTGTTGTTGTTTTATGATTGCAGACTTGTAGTTGGTGGACTGCAGGCCAGAAGATGAACTTTCAGATTCAAAGCATAAGATTTCATCTGAAGCCTATGTGTACATAGTCAACTTTGTTGAACCAAACCAGTGATTTGATCTCCTAAACTGGTCATATTTCCGTTCATTTTTCAATGTGGCCTTTCAGTGAATTTGTAAATAAATTATTAAACTTGGAAGAGGTTACACATAATAGTTCAGATTGTAGCTTATCTGGCTCCTGCTCCCTCTATTCATTAACTGATGGAAGAGGCCACGATGTGATATTGCCCCGTTTACGTTTCATTGAGGTGGAGCATCATATTCTTGTTGACTTTTCATTCCTAGTCAATTATTGTGCTTTATGTTAATATCTCTGATGCATCAATTCATATGCATGTAAAGTGAATCTAGTAACTTATTTAGTTTCTACGTGCAAACATGCTTACACTGTCTTTTGTTACAATATTTACAGGTTCCTCATGTCAATCAGTTATCCAATTGGGATTGTGGTCTTGCCTGTGTTCTGATGGTTTTGCAAACGATTGGGATCAACAACTGTAGCTTGCATACATTGGAGAAGCTCTGCGGCACAAGGAGGTGTGTTTGATTTACTTTATTAACTTCGTAATTTTTAGTAACTTACAGCAATGTGGAAGCTTATGCATTACTTATAGTTTGCTCTATGCTTGACAAACTTGTAGTATACAGTTTGGTTTGCTTGATTACAGATTGTTCCATTTGATACAGTATATATAGGTGTCAAATATATATATGTGTGTGTGTGTGTGTGTGTGTGTGTGTGTGTGTGTGTGTGTGTGTGTGAACCCTTGTTTTCAGTTTTCAGTCTAGTCAAATTATCTTGCAGAATATATATACGACAGTGCTTGTCCTGCATGTAACGAGGCTCTCCATTAAGCAATTGCATTTTTTTGTGCTTTTACCGCTTTTACGGCTATCTTGGGCATGGACATCCACACACTACTTTGTTCAGAGAGAGATTACAAACAGGAAGAAGTAGATAGAGCCATAGAGGTGCATGCAATGCATCATTGAAGTAGGCAAACAGCTTAACGGGAAGCAGTGTGTTTTCTTGATTTAATTAGCAGCGTTATGCCTTGGGAATTTGGGATTATTATCTAAAGGTAGTATCTACACAGTCTGCTCCTCAACGTTGTCTTCAGTTAGCTAATATAAAAAATAAATATACAAGAATGGAAGATTACAGAGTTTTGTATCTTGAATTCTGGGAGATGGATGGTACTGCTTCTGGATAACTGCCTATTCTTTTTTGTTCTCTTCCTTTCATAAACTTCAGAAGATCGTGCAATCATCTTCTGTGTCTTTTGCTTCAGGAATCCAGTTGCCTACATAAACCTCAGTGGGACCCTCCTGCCCATTGCTTTTGCTGCTTGATTTTTAAGTTCTTGTAGTTCCCCTCTTAGCTGGATGAGGCTTTCTTTAGGATTTTGGACAGTTGAGTAGTATATGGCTCTGCGCTATCAGCAAAAATTGGAAGCAGTGAGATGGGGCTTAGTGATGTGGGGTCTGGTTAAGAATGAAGTGCCATCTATGGATGGAGAAGTAATATTTTTCAAGGTGATTTGTACTTATGCAAGATGATGGAGTATACAGATTGGTGAGATATTTGGGAACTTTCATTTTCTTTTCATGAACTCCGACTCTCATAGTGGCAGTACTGTTGGGATTAGAGGGTAATGGGAGCATTTGCTAACTAACATGATATTTTGCAAGGGGTAAGACTTATACATAAGTAATGGTGCTTTGCAGATCGAGTGATTTTCTTCTCTTGTTCTTTTTGTTTGTTTAGATAAAGGAGCAGCAAGAATGAGGGAGTTCATATTTCATCTTCCCTAAACTTCTGAACAGATTTGGAAGAGAAAAAAGGAAATTTTAGCCAAAAAACAATCTCTTTTATGTACCAGTCACTTCTCTTAATTGCAGTGTTTCAGACTCCCTTCTAAACTCAGGGTTGTTAAGGTTGCAAAAACTCAAAAAGTCCATATATATCTGAGTCTCTTCAGACACCATCAATTTCTAGAATCATCCTTAATAGCTGCTGTAGTTGATGCTGTTGGTATTTATGACCTCGTTGCCTCCTCGCTCAACCCTCTCTGGCCTTTTTTCACTTTCCCTTCACTTCCGTGTTTCTGCTATTTTAGTTTGTTCTGCTGTCATCCTTCTACAGTTGACATTTTTTTTCCTAGGCAATATCCTCACCTTGTATTTGCAGACTTACTATGAACAATTACCTTGGCTCAATCCATACATATATAACAGGGTTATACACACTGATAGATAAGGCCTTTTTAGCAATAATTTTATGCTGAAAAAGTAGTAGAAGTTTCCTCGATGTGAAAAGAATGTTCCCTAGGTATTCTGACAACAGGAATTTAGGATGGTCTCTGACGTGGTTTCTATAATTTTTCCTCCTATTACCTTTAGAAATTTTTTTCACAAATGTTTGACTGTGATGTTGGCTGTTGGCATATGTCCCTCCTTAAGTAGGGCACATTGGCATTTGTTACAGCTTTTTAATTGTGAAAGAGTCAATTGAATCTATCTAGAAAATTAGCTCTTTTGCTTGCATGTTAACTTTTGATTGAAATTTTTTTGTATATTTCTTGCTATATATATTTGTTTTCATTTTAATATTTATCTTTGATTTGGCAGCATATGGACTGTTGATCTGGCATATTTGCTGCAAAAAATTTCTGTCATCTTTTCCTATTTCACTGTGACTATAGGAGCAAATCCAAACTTCTCTGTGGAGTCATTTTATAAGGTATCTTCCAGTCCTATACCCCTTTTATCTTTTCCCTACACTTTCAATTTTCCTACAAGTTATTTTTTTATTTTTGGAACTGGGTGGTATGTTATTCGACATTTTAATTAGAAGGAACAACTAAGCAGCTCGTGAAGTATGTGTCTTCATTTTAGACCACACATGCAAAGTTTTTGAAAAATTAATGCTGTTTTTTTTTGTTTAAATAATCTTTTAGTCGGCGTAAGCTTATATTTAACCATTACAGTTTTCCTTGAAGAGTGTTGCTTTTGTTAGTCTTTGGATTGACATATACTTTGATGGCAAATTTTATGCCTTCTGTATTTCAATGTAAGTTTGGGCATGTGTTACATCAACTGTTAGATGCAAGCAATGTAGAGGGTTGGTAATCTTGGTATAATATAGATTTTAAAAGAGACCATAGGAGGCCTGAGATGACTTGGATGGAGGGTGTTAATAATAACATGAAGAAAATGGGCTTGTAAGAGCATTTGGCGCAAAATAGAAGTGTATGGAGGAAGAGGATACTCTTGGACGACAACTGGAGATAAATTCATGCAAGATGCAACCAACTTTATCCTTTTGGGATGATGTTGTATAGTGTTTTATGTGTTCTTATTACACCTTGACCATGATAAAAAGATTTTTGCTTCATTACACTTGATGCATTACAAATTTACAAGTGATGATTAATTTTTTTGTAGGATCACTTACCACATGATTTGGTCCGAGTAGATATGTTGTTTCAAAGAGCATTTAAGGATGGAATTAGTATAGAGGTATAAGAAAGTTATAAAACTTGAATTTTCTCCTTCAGCTTTGGCATTACAATAAATTGGATATCATGTTGATGATTTCTGATCAACATTACCTCCTTCTTGCAGTGCAGATCATTTAGTCAAAAAGAAGTACCTCTCTTGATCTTGTCTGGAAGATACGTAGCAATTGCTTTGGTTTATCTGTGCAAACTATAGTTAGTATTTCTTTCTTGTGCTGCTTCATTTATTATACTTAAATTGTCTCAAGGATGACAATGTATATCTCTTTCCATGGTGTTGTTTAATCTTTCCATTTCAGCTTTTCCCTGATCCAAATATTCTTGAATCCTATTTTGCATCGTGAAATCTTCATGATGTGCTTATTACTCATATAGGGATTATAACTCTGAGATGTTACCCTTTGCATCTTCCTCAAAGCATATAGTAAATTCAGTATCATGGCCTTTATTGCTATCTTGCCCATCTTAGACACAACAGCAACTATCCCTCTAAATATGTGGAGTTGCAGTAGTTATTTAACCGTAAAAATCAACTTCACATGATTTTTTGGTTGTAAATTAAACTTGGGTAGCCTTTGTCTGAACTTATACTCCTGGAATTTTATTTTATTTTTCTTAGGTGGAAATAAGCCTTAGCTCTAAATCTTTCTTCAATTTTGCTAATTTCAAATCTGGCATTGACCTTTTTCTAAAAAATGTCATTTATTACAGTCGGTCATTGCTAGAGGACTACCATGTCGCTGAATTATGTGGAAGCAATCTGGGCTATACAGGTGAGAATTGTTGTTTCCTTCTCTATCAATATTGTGACAGAAGCCAAAAATCCTGGTAATTTTAGCCATTTGAATCCAAGTAATGCTGCTAATTAGCTTACCTGATCTTATTTTTTCTGAACCTATTTTACCTGAAATTATCCGAACTTGTTTTTTTTTTTGTTTTTTTTTTGTTTTTTTGTTTTTTTTTGTTGTTTTGTTGTTTTTTTTTTTCCTGAAATATGATAATAAGTTAAAATAAGGTGAAACAAACAAACCCTGGGGATTTATTTTTCCAAAAAACAATTCCAACACTGGAATTAAATACCTTCTAAATACGCTATCTAACTTTGTATCTGTAGATTTAAGACTTATGGCTTGGGACCAATTGTGATTGTAGCAATTCAGGAAAGAAAAGGATGGTGTCCAACCATTGTATGTTAGGGATTTAAAATATTTGTTTGGTTGGACATACTAAGAAATATTTCCTAGGGTGTTTCTTATTCATGATTTCATGTAGTTCAATTTCCTAGGAAGTGCAAAATATTGTTTGGTTCATCATGGCATGAGAAACTCCACTTACCTAGGGTAACAACTTCCTCCATTAATCCTATGTTTTTGTCAACCAAAAAACAATGCGATTTCCACTTCTCAAGTTTTTTCAATGTCAACAAAACAAGTATGAAGACTCAAGACTATAATATTTATATAGAATAAGATATTGCTTGTTCATTTCGAACTGCTATGTGCTCGACTTTTGGAAATACATTTTAAATTGTGCCCAGTTTGGTTTTTGTTATTTGTATTGAGTGAGTTCTTATCAGCTGTCATCAAGGTCAACATGAGTGCTCATTGTATGAGATACTGGACTAGAATATGCCTATGCATCCGTATTAAGGGGATGGGCATTCTAGGTAGTGGCATAGTAATGATGTTCATTGTAGCTTGTAGAAGAAGATAGTTAAATAGGTTGGTAGAAAGTATAAATAGATCAAATTAGGGAGAAAAATAGTATGTGAAGTATAAGAGTTAATTAGAGAGAGAGAGACTGCTTCTTGGGAGAGCATCAACCTATCGAATGTTGGCCTATAGGTTGTAATATGTGATTTCTACCGTGACTAGCATCATAAACAATCCTATATAATATATTACTAGTTTTCCCTTAATCTGACTACCAATTTCTTCATCAATTCTTTTTAACCTTCTTAATTCCCTAAAATATACAATTTTAACACTGTGTTTGGATAAAGAAAGGGGAAGGAAAAGAAGAGGAGGGAGGAGAAGAGGAGGGGAAGGAAGAATTGTGAGTTTTCCTTCCAAATCTCTCCATTGTTGGAGGGATCATTTTCCTACAATTTAATCCCTCCATTTCTCTCCCCTCCAATTCCCTTCCTTCCTCATTTGTTATCCAAATGAAAGATACCCCATCTCTCCATCTCCCTTCCCTTCCTTTCCCTCCGTTTCCTTCAATCCAAACACGCCGTAAGTGATAATAGCTAAGGGTTGCGCAAAATGTGCTGACATATTCTAAAGAATTACATTGGTTTACATGTTATTGTTAACGTGGTCATTACTAATCTGCTGCTTTCTGCAGGTCATTATGTTGTAATTTGTGGGTATGATGCTGACAAAGATGAGTTTGAAATCAGGGATCCTGTCAGCTCAAGGTTTTGCATCCTTATTGACTTTTATATTGAGTCTCATTTTACAGTCTAATATTGAAGAGTCTAGACCTGTAGGCAGATTAAATTGTGAAAGTCAGGAATTTAGTGATTTAGATGGTTTGGCGGTATGATTTAGATGCATTTTAGTTTGGTCAACTCATAGATCATGCAACGCTTATCCATTTTCATCAGATATTGCTTTAGGGATCATGCTCTAAGCTCAAGTACATCCTTGGCTGTAATAATAGAAAATCTGTTAAGAGTGTAACACTATTCTTCTCATTAGCTTTCATTCTTTGCTAGGAGCAGTCATTAAACGGCTGATTTTGTTTCTTTGGAACTGTGCAGGAAATATCAGAAAATCTCTTCAAAACACCTAGATGAAGCTCGCAAATCTTTTGGTACAGATGAGGATCTTCTACTGGTAATTTCTTGACTCCCTTGATCAGGACATCAAAATTGACTCTTCACCGTGCTCTTAATGATAGTTTTCCATAGATGCTCAAACAGAATGGTGTTTAACTTGTTATGTACAGATTTCACTTGATCAGAGATATACCAAAGAGGCATTTCCGCTAATCTCAGGTCATGTTAATGAAGATCCATGACAACTATCAAACTTGTGCAGTAAACTGTGTATATGATCCTTCGCATGTACAATATTATCCTCTGTTATAAGTTTCACAGCATGTACCCATCCCCAGGTTTGGAAATTAGCTTAGATTGCCATCTGTAAATCATCACTTGTGCTGTTGTGCATTAGATTGAATAATTCTTTTGTAAATCTCTTCATATATATTCATCAAAATTTTAAAGTATCTTAGTATATATTAAGATGATGCTGTTTTCGTTACTGAAACTTTTTGACCCTTTGAGATTGAAATCGAAAGGGCAAAAGAGAAGGCTGCTGGAGTTCGATCTTGGTTCCTGTGCTTTTGTGTATTCCTTTTCATGTCTTGCTTTCTTCATTTTTTTCGTAGGAGTATCAAATGCTTAAATATGATTCACCTTCAAAAGTCCTGAAGTTAACCATCAAACATCTACTAGTACAACTTTTTTTCCCAGATCCAAGTGAAAAAGGGATCGAAATGCGAAAAAAATAGATGAAGTTGATAGTTTGTGTTATATGCTAATTTATTTATTTTTACTTTGTGTGTGAATATTGTCAATAATCACAGAAAAACTCAAAACATTTGTCAAAATTAATGCAGATTTTTTAATTAGGGCTGATAATAAACTAATAAAGTACCCCCTATGTTCTAATTTAGGACATGTTAAGTGATTTTGATCAACATATATTAAAAAAAGACTTTATTTTAGACATCTCAAATTAACTTGAAAAAATCAAGAATCATGCAATGACAAACTTTTGTACAATAGCTTTATTCATTCGGTTTTGTCCTATGTAAATACTAGTAATACTAATAAGTACGACAAATCAGTGAATCACTTTCTAGCTGGTAAGAAAATTGCTCAAAAGAAATGTCACAAATAAGACAATAATGTTTATAAAAGTAATTAGTCAGACAAATGGAAGAATATAAGGGTGGCAGGTAAACTGTATAAAATAAAATGGAGATGGTTGTGATAGTGGATGACATATTAACCTTTGAATCCAGAATTTCTCGATCAATAAGAATTCAGAGATATCTTAATTATTTTGTGGTTAGTTGAACTCACAGCATAGAAATTGCTTGTAGGCTGGTATTGATAACTGATAAAGTTAAAGTTGTTTTTATCATTTCCCCTACCCTGAAGCTTGAATTTTGAATTTTGATTTTTCGAGTTCAATACAAATCGGATTTAGATTTCTTTTAACAATTTCAGATCGGGTAATCGGTTTATACTGTCAACCCTAAACTACGCTTTCTATTTTAATGTGTATGTACCCTTTCAAATTGTGTACAATTGTATTATAGAATCGTCTTTGTGTTTTTTTTTTTTTTTTACGGGATTATGGAGTTAAACACTTTCACACATGTATCTTGGGCTTAGTTTTTATCTTATAAATTAAATTATACTAGTATGTTCCACTTAATTACAAATATATGTGTTTAAAGCCGGCAAAATTGGATTTCAACATTGAAAAGTTGTTTTTAATTTGATCAGGAAAAATATTTAATAGCATGATGCTAAGAAGTTGCTTAATACAAAAGAGTTAGGTAAGAAAAATACAAACGGGGCGATTCACACGTACACTTTGCCATATAATTATAAGTTATGTGTAATGTCTGCCATAAATAATAGACTATATTATTCAACATAATATAATGCAAATCATAAAAGTGGGGAAAAAAACAGGGAACCCATGATTTAATGATGTGGATGTACACAAGTAACACAACATCTTGTTGGTGAAAGGTATAGACATGCTTGCATGGCATCACACTGCCTCTCATGATATTTTATCCTTCACAATTTATGCTTCATTTGCATATATAATTAACTTTTAATTTTATTGGATCGCCCACATAAATTTTATATTTTGGTTACATTGGTCCATATTCAATGTTAACACCTACACATGCAAATCGAATATACTACAACATGTTTATAATCTTGTTGAATTTTGGTAATATGACTATTAATGTCAAGTTCTTTGAATTGGTAGAATTTTTGTGATTATACTTTGTTCTTATTCTTGTCAATGGAGCCCTATACAGAGCTATTAGTTGTTACTCATAACTTCATTTCGCACTGTCTATGGAATCAAATGAGAATATTTAGATCTTGTTGATCCGTGTTTAAGATATGAATTTAGTGGCTTTTGTACATGGAGTTTATTTTTGGTGCTTAGAGAGCCACAAGGACGGGTGATGAGAATCGATCCCAAGATCTCTTGAAACCAGGAGGGGAGCTCTAACCACTTGAATTATCCCTCACTCTCACATGGAGTTTATTCTAAAAGTAACAATGTTTTTGAAATTAGATAGTAAAATTATTAGCAATATAGGATCGAATAATAACGTTTTTTTTTTTTACAATGAATGGTTTGTTGATTTAGAAGAGTAGTATGTCAAGATAATATACACCCACATATGAGAGTTGCAAAGCACTCGATCATCAATTGACATTTGAACCAATGTTTTCGTCAAATCTCCCACATTGTATAAACATTTGAAGAAAAAATTCAACACAGGAAACATGTACAAGTACAACTTTGGAAAACCACCAACAAACTCCAATCATGGAATAACACTTTTTATAAAAATAAATATATGTAGGCTTATTCTGATTTACTGAGTTGGGTTGAAATGAACTGAACTGAACTGAACTGAACTGATTGGAGCTTAATTGAACTGAATTGAATACAGCTAAAATGAATATTATATGAGAGAAGGAAATTAAGAACTGAATTGAAGTGAACTGATTGGTACTGCACTGAACTGAAATTAAGATGGAGAGAACAGTCCCGTAGTATTAATGTTGTAGCGATAACAATTCAAATACTTCGTAAGTACAGTATTGCAAAAATGCAAAATCTTCGTATCAACAAAAAAATTTTACTCCATAAGTGAGTTCACATACATATTGGATATTGGAAATTTGAAATTAAACTCGAAAATATTGAAGTTTCTTATAGAAATTGAGGAAGCCCCACTTAATCTCTAGGATAAACAAAATTTGTTTATCGCATGGAATTTTGGTAAATAAATCAACAACTTTACCCATAGAAATGAGGAAGCCCCAATTAATCTCAGAGATAAACAAAATTTGTTTATGACATGGAATTTTGGTAAATAAATCAACAACTTTACCCATAGAAATGAGGAAGCCCCAATTAATCTCAAAGATAAACAAAATTTGTTTATCACATGGAATTTTGGTAAATAAATCAACAACTTTACCCATAGAAATGAGGAAGCCCCAATTAATTTCAGAGATTAACTTGCAAGTACACTGTACACAAAGGTAAGGAGATGCATGGTCTAACCTTGTACCTACATTATTGCTACATGCTTAGATAGGTTATAGGTGAAGCACTTAGGACGACTATAGGTAATCATATACAAGTATGTGTCGTAAACTCATAATTAACATTGATATGACATGGATAGTTGCCTTATCCTTTACACTAATGTCACTATTCAGTAATGTGTTATCAACATGTACACGAAGTTAATGCAACATTTTGTATGTATTACTGTGATGAATTGATGATGGAAGATTCTGTTGCACAAACATGACAAAATCATACTCTGTGAAACTAAGATTACATTGTACTCAAATCATGAACTATTGAGCTAAGGTGTATTACAGTAGTTCTTTGCACCTTATTCAAATTGAAATTTCAATTAGAAATTTATTTGATTTGATTGAATCCGATTTGAATTTGATTGAAACCGTTTGAATTGATTAGACATGATTACAATACAACTAGTTTATTGGATCTTATCTGAATTGGTTGGATTTGAATAGAGTTTAACTTAAACTAATAGATTCAAAACTTTTTTTTAGATGAAATAATTAAAACGCTAAAAGGTTTTTATTAGCATGCCACATTAGTCTTTTTAAAGGGATCCTACAAATATCTCAAATACTCCTTAAAAAGTACGAGATAGCCCAAGTGGCCAAGTGGTGCGAAGTTGCGAACACCCATTTGGTGCCACGAGATCTTGGGATTGATTTTTATCACTCGCCACATGGCTCTCCAAATACCAAAAAAAAAAAAAAATAGATACATAATCAAAAATTGTATGCGTACGTTTATGGTCAATATAAGATCAAATGAGAAAGAATACCAAAAAAAAAAAAAAATAATGCTAAGATCTCATAGTATCTCGTTCAAAATGCATTAATTTATGATAAACCACATGATAATGACAATCAAAATGAAATTAATATAAGTATAAAATTAAGGGTAATGCTATACATAGCCCTTAGGGCTATATATAAGCATTGAATTTACTCTTGGAAAATGTATAAAGTTAGGAATTCATGACAAAAACACGCGCAAATCGGTGTAATTAGTGTGTTTTTGTCATAATTTTCTAAATTTAAACAATTTTCAAGAGTAAATTAATCATAATGAAGAAAGTAATCCCTTGAAAAACAAGAATCCGAATCCTTTTGCATAATTTCCTAGGACCCCATTTCACCATTTTGAAATTTAGAATCACTTGCTACCCAAGTTTGTCTTACAAAGTCCCACTCACTTACTCAAAAAAAAATAGATTAAAGCAATTTCATGAATTGAAGATTCATTCAACCTCCACTTCCATGACCCAGCAAAAGATGATCACAAGTACACTACCACTAGTGAATTTGCAAATTACTCACTCTTATTTTAATGCATGTGATAATAATGGGTCCCACAATCCTATTTTTCATATTTTTTTTTGAAAAATAAAAAAGAGGGAACCAAAATTCAAAAGACAGAATTATGAAAAATGGTGTGTATAACTAAAGTTTGGTAGGTTGTATATTCAATAGTGCATTCTTATTCTTAAGATGTACCCCCGATTAATATATAAACTTAACCACTGCGTGGAGTATGTTATTCTTTGATGTTCGTTTTCTTCCCACAATTTTTTTTGGGGGGATAAAATTTGTGTTTTTTGGGGATAAATTTTGTGTTTTTTTGGGCCCACAAAATCAAATGGTAAACCTAGGAAAACATTTGGCGTACAAACATTACGGTCACTATCAAAATACTTGTAGTTAATTCATCTTATAGAAAACATTATACTAGTAGATTGAATCAATGCATGTAATAGTAGCTTAGTAGATTAAATTTGATTTAGCTTTAATCCGTATACTTGTATATTACAATGGTAATCAGATAACCATAAGAATGTATCGGTTTGATAAAGAAAGC